CTAACTCTTACAGGTAAGTATCTCTGTGTGTGTATAAGAACCCTAGAAAAAGTCTTTTTAAAAATGGAGGTGAGACAGACACCATGTTCTATCTTAGGTGGTTTCAAACCTGGCTACATCACTTGGGGAGATGTTAAAGCCAGTAAGGCTTAGTCCCCACTAAGGTCAACTGAATCAGAATCTGTGGACACTGTCATTTGTCTAAAAGTCATCTCATTGTGCACTCCCCACCCTGCCCACTACAATGTGCAGCAATAAAATACACCAGTCAATTCCTTATATAATGTTACATATAAAAGATATTGAGGGTATAGCTCAGAGCACTTGTCTAGCAAGTGCAAGGCCCTTGGTTCCATCCCACCATTATCTCCCCCAACCAAAATAATCAAATAAAAAGGTAATAAATAAATATATTTCCATTTGCATACCAACTGTGTAAAAATTATGGAAAGACTTACCACTGTCTAAAAATTTCTCTACCTACACTGGAAAAATTTTAGTACTGCACCAGGGACTACTGTGACAGAGTCATTATGGTCTGATGATCTGAGTGAGGAGATTGCATAAATCCTAAAAGGCAAGGTGAGCAAGGAAGGAGTTTACCTAAATTGTGTTCTATCTTTCCATCATCAGAGGAAAATTATTCTTAGTTTTCCTTTATAAAAATCACATTCAAGGCTTGGTGCTTTCAGGGTAAAGATAAAGTGTTAATAGAAAATGAAGTGTCTTTCCTAGCTTAATCATGGTTCTGTCCATGCGATGATCAACAAAACTACTAAGGTGAGCACCAGAGGCTTTGGGGCCCCACCCATCAAGTGAGTCCCCTCTACTGCAGATCAAGCCCTATCATGGAGGTCAGCCTCCACAGAATAGGAGGGAACACACGTCCCCAGTCACATGTTTAACCTACAAGGCACCACTAACACAGAGACACCATGAATGATCAAGGCAGGCTGTACAGACACTGCAACACTAAGGCACATTTATAGGATGCACAGAATGATAACCTCATGAAATTAAAAAAAGAAAAAAGAAATCATACTTTAAAGAAATCAGGGCAGGTCTAATGAGAACTAGCTGGTAGGCTTTACCTATTCCTATTAGCTGTTCGCTCTGCTTACTTGTTTTTCCTGGAAACCTGCCTGTCATCATCTTTTCTTCAAAAAGATGAGTAAGGAATTAGGGAAGGAAAAAAAAGGAAATAGAAAATAACAAATTTCCTCTTGTGTCTTCCTTAAGGTAGAGCCTTCATAATACAGATTCCAAAAAAAAGAATCAATATCGAAGTTTTTCCTCTATGTAATCCATCAGATACAGCTCCCCTCTGTTTTAAAACAGAAATCATTATTTTCTACAGAAAAGCACCTCTATCCCAGGAGGGAAATGGTTAGTAGGAGCAATGACCCTGTGGACCACAGCAGTGCAGGGCTGGCTGGGCTCTCACTTGCTCCTCCATCCTTCCAATTCTTCTGCTCACAACTCCTAGGTCTTTTCCTTCTTGCCTTCCTTGCAATTCCCAGGCTGGGAATGCCCAGTGATGTCTGCCCTATTTCTGAGAAGATGAAGGATAAAGCTGTAGAAACTGCTTGATTTTTCTCTAACATTTCAGAATGTTTCAACTCTGCACCTGAACTTTGAAAGAAAAGGAAATCTTTGAAAACAGCTTCAATCACTTTCCACAATCACAAATAAAAATCCAATTTCTAGACTCCATTTCTTTCTGTTTTAAAGAATTAATAACTATGGAACAAAGGAAAAATGTTTTTAAAATATTTCAATGAATTTCATTGTTGCTTGCTATTTGAGAGTTATTTTTGCTAATGTAGCACACAGAAGAGAGAAAATTATCATACATCGATGAAAAGCTTGCTGCAGAGGAAGATCCAAATGCTTGGTTGTTTCCTGCCAGCATTTTCCATTCTTCTTTTATTTAAGAGTTTTAAAAATTCCCTCACTCACCCTTTCATCCATCATTCATCCATACCACTCCTTCTGCCTGGGTACTACAGGGAAGAAAGGTATGCATGAGAGAATTACTAAAGTAAGTATGGAAGGTGTACGTGGATGAAATCATTTAGAATTAGTTGGTTGCTTTTAAGCATCTGCAAAATTATTTTTTGCTTTTAAAACTCAGCTTGATAGAACACTGCATGAATTGTTGAATTGTTTCTATTCTCTTCTTGATTCAAGTACCAACAGAAATAAAGGCTTTCTCTCAAAAAGCCCTGGCTTTTCCATTTCCTACTGCATTCAATTCAGTAAACTTTTTCCACTTGCATGTTAATGCCAGTGAGTAATCATGTCAACTTGTCTTTTGTGAGCACAGAGGGCTCCTCTGTTGGGGCTTGCACCTACACTTTCACAACTAAGTGACTTTTGGGGAAAAGTCTTCCCTAGTCTTTGGAGGAGGGAGGTGTGTGTATAGGAATACAGGAATGTAAGAATCCAGAACAGGCTCATCCCAGCTTCTAGGACTATTTATTTCTTCCCATGTACCCTTTCCTCCTCACGACCACCAGGGCCATGTGGAGGGGCTACCATATGGCAATACTCTGTCCCATATGGCTCTATCTCACTAAAAGGGGCGCTCAAGAACATAAAAATGCTGTACACTTTTATTGCAGCCCCTTCTCCTTTTCCTCCATCTGTCTTCCATATGGTTTATGCAACTCTATTAGGATCCTGTACACACAGGCCTCTATAATGAGGGCTACCAACCCAACCAAGATAAAGAACTAGAACTTACCCATCAGTGACAGGGGGCCTCAAGAACTTCAAATATCCAATTTATTTAGTATTCAAACTAGAACACTTAATAACAACCTTTCTTTAATTTGGATACATTTAGATTTATATTTTTAAATTTTTATATCAACAAAAACCACATAATTGCTTTTCTGTTTCAAGTTCAAAAATCCACACAGGACTTCCACACAGGTGTCCCTACTATGGGAATATCGATTAGTGTGTCCAAAACTCACTTTTTAATTTTTATAAATTTTCTTTTGATAGGAGGAAAAGTTGTTACTACATTTTCCTTCAAATGGCTCTCCAAAACTCTGAAGTTTCACAGGTGTCCTTCCCTTAAATTCTAAGATAAGCAAGAATTAGATGCAGCTTTCTCTACCTGGCACCTCCTGGCCCACCTGGGTTGTTGGGATTACAAGGGTCAAGCCACTGAGTCCTGATCTTCTTAATTTGTATGTATGTGATAAGAGTGACATATTTGACCCCAGTGGTGGTATAATTGAGAAGAAAGCAGGAATAAAGTTATGGGACACAGTGGACATCCCCATTCCTAATGGGAGGCAACTCCTGGCATTAGTAACAGTATTTAATAAGAGTGATTTGTCATTTCCAGCATTCAATAGTGAGTCTGTTGGTGAGCACCTGAGCCATTTTTCTCAAAAGTAAAGGGAACAGGTTAGAGGCAAAGCTTAGTTGAAGAGCATCTGTCTAGCTTGCAGGAGATCCTGGGTTTGATCCCAAGCACCACAAAGGGGAGGAGGGAAGAAAATGCAAAATGATCAAAATTAGAAAGAAGGAATAAAAGAAACAGTCAGGAATTTAGAAAGCATTCAACCCCTCTGAAGCTTTACCACATTTAAAGTGTCTTTTTCTTCCTATGGCAGACAGCATGCCCATATTGTACTCCAAACCACCTGTATAAAGTAGTCTGAGAAATTATGCCAGTTCCATGATCATCACATCTGATGAAGCAGAGCATTGGAACAGTGCTCAAGAGCACATAATATTCATCTACAGACACACAACCAAGCAAATGCCATGAGCATGCTTTCAGCTTATTTTTTGTGGATAAATGACAATCACTGATCACCCCCCCCCAATTATATGCAAAATATTCACTTGAATTTTGAAGCCAAACAATAATGTTATTGTGGAATACATGATTGGGTCACATAACTACTTTTTTTTTTCACCCAGCCAAATATTTCACACATGATTATTTTTCTTATTACACTTTTTAGTGCAATATAGATCCAGACATCATTCATGTTCAGACAAAACTACCAGGATCAGAGGAAACTCCTGATCCTACTAATATTATTTCATAATTCCTCTGCATGGGAAAACCGAACTAGTTACTCTGCACCAGCACAAACTACAGTTGCCTTTTCTTGATGCAATCAGTATACTGCAAACTGTGGGTGTCACAGGTGCCTTGGTGGCAACAAAAAAGTACAACAAGTTGCAAAATTTAGGCTACCACCAGAGGCCTATTCATTGAAATAGTGCTCCAGGTTGGAACAAATCACAAACTCTGGTTAAGAGAAGCAAGTACTCTTCCTTCTGTGATAAAGACATTATGGGTAAGTTGTTCTGTAAATGGAATAGTAGTGTTTCCCAAAGTGCATGGATGAAAAAGCTAATTGCTATTTTGCTCTCAGCTTGAATAAAAAGGACAAGAAGTCTGATCAATAAGATTTCTGTGAATCACAGCTTCGGGTCTGGAAAGCTGTATCATAGTCTGCACCCCAGGACTTGCTGTGAGCAGGCAGTTTGTAAACCACTTGGAAAAGGCAGAAGTTGCTGCTAAGCATGTAGCTTCTGAGTACTTGCAGTAATCGTTGACATTTTGGCAGGGAGGTTACTCCCCACTAGCTCAGTACTTCCTATATGCCAGGTGAATGCCTGCTGGTCCTTTCCCCTTGTATTTCTTTCCACTGCACATAGGCTATGGAACGCTGGCCTCTTGCCAACTACCTTTAGGTGAGATTTGGTTAAAATTACCAAAGAAATACATACATCTGCCTTCATATTGCCTTCTTTGTACAGCTACTTCCAAGGCAGCTGCTTGGGGACTGTGTGTCCATTTACTGGATTTAAACAAACAGCATAAGGCAAAGCGGGGAGGTACACAAAGCATATGCTATTTCTGCCCACCCTGGTTTCAATCAACAGTGGGAGCCTCGCCCGAGGATACTGACAAGGACATCAGCAGCTGTGAGTCTGGAAGCAAGAGACACCCCATGCCTTACCTGGTTCTTTGTCCTGGACTTCTTCTAGGTGCAAGTCATTCAAAAGGTGCTCCAAGATCTTCTCCGGGGTCCCAGACACCACCACGTATCTGTCAGAGAGCAGAGAATCCACTGAGTCATCCTCTGTGGAAGACTGTGAGCGGCTGCTCCATTCATCATCCTCATCCTCCTCATCGATGTATTTGAAATAAGGCACATCGAAGGTAGGCAAGGGCAGCTCTCGGTCTGAGAGCACCACAGAATCTTTCCTCTCTAGATGCGGGTCAAAGACCCTCAGCCTGGAGCTGCCCATTGTGAAGGGTTACTAACAAAGGCATCCCCTAAATGCTAAAAGATCTTGCCATCCCTGTCCTTTCACTGGGAACTGAGTCCCTCTGGCTGCTAAGAGCTCTGCAGTCAGCTAGAATGCTGGGGAGGCGGAGAGAAAAACAAGGGAGGGAGGGAGGCGGGGAGGATAGGGCAAGCGGGGAGAGCTAGTGAGAGAGAGAGAGAGAGAGAGAGAGTGAGATGGAGCGAGAGAAGGAAAGCGGCTGGGAAGGAAAGCAGAGTGCACGTGCCTCAGTGGCTGCAGGGGAAACTCTCACCTCCAATCGCTCTCCGCACTCCCCGCTGTGGGGGCTGGGCCACAGCTCTGCACTTTCTTCAGCACCAGGACATTCCGGTCTTGCTCTTTAACCTGAACCATCGGCACTTCATCATCTTGCTTTAATTGTGGATGGGAGTGATGGATGAGAGAGGGAAGAGTAGAGAAAATTAAAAAGGAGCTAACTTAAGCTGCATTTTCTAGGCTTGCTTCTAGGTACCATTATTTCTTTACAGATTCAGAATAAATTAGGGGTACAGCCAAGAGACTCCCTCTAATAGTGCAGCATCCAGACTCAAGTTCTATGGAAACACAAAGCATTAAGAGACATAAGTACTTTAAAGGAAATGGAGGAAGTGATTAAGGGAGAATTGGGGTTCACAGAGTTTATTTTAAAACTACTTGAACAATCTGAACTAGAAAATATAAAGTTTAAGATTTTAAAAAGCACAACATATTAATTTCATGTGTATGATCTTCTCTTTTTACCTGGCTAATGTTTCTCTCTCTCTCTCTCTCTCTCACACTCACACACACACACACACACACGCACACGCACACGCACACGCACACGCACACACAGGCTTACTTTAAAAGATGGGCAAAAAAATAACCACTAGATTATTCAAGACATTGTTTTTTTCCTGACTTGTGATGATGGCCTTCAAATTTATCATGTACTTGTTTTTCCAGAATACAAGCAAAAATGGATCTCCAGTTAGAATCTCATCTAGGCTGAAATTCAGAAGTCACGGACCACTGCACTGACTTTCTTCACTTCAGTCCCTTTTTAAAAAGGAGAGAAGGCTGAACCATCATTCATTTCTGCATACGCAGCTTCCACAGCCCAGAGCCAGTGTGGTCCGCTGACATGGCTCAGTCGTGGAGGACACTCCCTGCTGAGCCAGCAGTGTGGACCCAACTCTGAGCCAGGAATACTTGCAGGGCTTTAGTGTGAAACTCTCCTGATATGGAACACGCAGGAAGTTTTAGGTAGTTCAGAAAAACCCTAACATACATGTAAGAAAACCTAACTTCTAGGGCTAGAGGTATAGCTCAAGTGATAGACTGCTGACCTATCAGGTGTGAGACCCTGATTTCAAATTCAAACCCCAGCACTGCAGAGAGAGAGAGAGAGAGAGAGAGAGAGAGAGAGAGAGAGAGAGAGAAGAAGCAGCAGAAGAAAATCTAACATCAAGACAACTTCTATTGTCTTGAGCAAAAAAATTAAAGCAAGAAAAGTAGTTAACAAGTTGGTTTCACCTTCAGGATAATGTTACCTCTTTAAAAAGGAAAATATATGCTAAGGTTTCTAACGTGTTTGTGCTATTGACAGAAAATCCTACCTATAATTAGGTACAAACAGTAAAGGAGAAGGGTACTCTGCCTCCATAAATGGATTAGAAAGTACCATATCTCTATCCCTTAGTAATTGCTTCTACATACCCATCAGGGATGTCAATGTATTTTATTCACCTTTCTAAGAACAGAAAACCAGTAATCTTGCCATAATTGCCAACCAAATAGTGATAAGATTGTGATTTCAATTCTCGGTGTCATCTGATTTCTAAAAATACAGTCATTTGAGTCCTCCCAGAAAACAAAGAACATTGGTCATTTTAAATACTGATGTAATTTTATGATCATTCTTTTTTAATCTTTTAGTGGCAAGTAATTTTATTATGTACAACTGATGTATTACATTTCAGCAAGGTCAGAGGCACAGTTTCTGTGGCAATTAATGCTGGATATTCATTGTTCAACTCCCTGAGGAGGCCAGTGTGACTCCTGTAACATGAATACCAATGTGTAATTGCTATCTTTCATTTCTCCAAGGCAGTTCTTTTGTTATCCATGTGGCTGAAGTGAAATAAAGTGGCTGGAGAGAGGAGCATATATTGACCCAAAAAAGGACTGAGGGCTGGGATAGTAAGATACATAGGAACAAATAATTATATTACTTGAAAAAAAAGACCCAAAAGGACAAAAATCTCTCCCTAGTTTCATCTAACTGTAAGCCAGTACTTGTTTTATATGAGCCGCTGTCATACTGAAGTATGTTTTACATCCTACGTGCAAGTGATATATGGCATTATTAACTTCCACAGGCTTTGCACATGCATATGGATGGGCAGCGTTTCTCTAATATCTGTGTAACTCATATGTATTGCATGGCTGTGCACAAAGCAGCCATATTCTACTGGGCAGGGGAATAGCTGAATCAGATTGATGTACTATCAATAGCATCTTAAGTCATTGTAATAGGTTCCATTTTGAAAACCTGTTAAAAATAAAGAAGAGAAAAAAAGCAGAAAAATCAATAACTAAAGAGCAATGTAAGATACCAAAAAATTACCATGAAAATATAATAATCCTATGTATTATATTCAGCACTGAAGAAGGAAAGTTATATTAATGCTTCCTGACCCATGCACACTTCACTAATTTCTCTTCTGGAAAAAAGAACAGAAGTACCATAGTTGAGGTGTGGGTATGAAATGTTATTTCAGTGCTTGCTTGGTTAAGAATAAAAGTATTCAGAGAACTAATGATATGTTCAAGGACAAATAGTTCAAAAGAGGCAAATAAGAGTTAAAACAGCTGATAGTCATTTATGCAGCAAATAGTGAAGATGAGTGAGAGTCCCCTGCTCTTAACTGTTGTAGGCTCCATAAACACCTAAGTAGAGTCTGATGAGCATCCAAAGATGTTGGTAAATGCAAGGGACAAGGCAAAAGTAGAACCCACAGGACATGGTCATCAAATACGACTACGGTGGCTGAGAGAGTGAGAATACCATTCATGGGGCTAAATGTGCAGAGGAAGGGCTATGGTGAGAGGGATGAACTTCACGTCTAACAGTTAATGTTTTATTACTGACAGGACACCCTGCAAGAGACATTCAGCATTCAGTTAGAAATAAAGCACTCAGACTCTGGACAAAAGTCAGGGATGGAGACAAATTTCTGAGTTATTCAAGTTTTGGCAGTGTATGAGACTCGGGATCAGGAAAGAGAGGGAACCATTTATATAGGGAACTTAAATGAAGAAAAAAGAGAGTAAGAGGAAGAGTAACAGAGTCATGGAGAAACTACTTATCCAGGGTCTATGAAGAACAGACCAAAACAAGCAGAAGAACAACCAGGAGAGCACTGAGCTCGGAAATCCAAAGAAAAGGCTTGTCTGACCCTGTAAAACTTATGAGGATGGCAAATCTAAGGAAAAGCAATACTGGGATCACTTTTAGATCAAGAAGTAGAAAGAAGACAGGCCCCAGCTACTCAGGAAGCAGAGGCAGAGGATAGCAAGTTTGAAGTCAGCCTTAGTGACTGACTAAAACCGTGACTCAAAATAAAATAAAAATGTAAAAAGGGCTGGTATGTAGCTCAGTGGCAGAGCACCTGCCTAGCATGTGTGAGGCCCTGGGTTCAATTCAGTGGGAAGAAAAGTGTTAAAGTGCTAGTGAAGGAGATCAAAATCAGCTTGAACAGGCTGGGCCCCTATCTGGGGAATGTTAGTGAGGTGGGGAGGGTCTACTGGGAAGAACTGATAGAATGAGGAACACAAGTGTAGGGTCAGGCTGGAAAAGAAAGAGACTTCTCCTTTCAGAATAGGATCAAGTGGCCAAGGTACAGAAGAAGAGAGATGAGGTAGATCATAGGAAAGGGCCTCTAATCTTAGTAGAGTGGGATTTGAGATATCTTCTGGAAGGAAGGGGTTGAAGTGAAGATGGTGGCCTAAAGAGGATATTATTGGAAAAGTGGTTTCAGGGTGCACAATAGGGGATAAACCAGCTATGAAAAAAAGAACTGCCAGGCATCTTGGCTAGAAAATACCTTATGGTTTTATGACTTTCTGCTTATGTACTCAGGGGCCTTAAGAGGAAAACAATGAATGATGAGGCCTATCCAGAATAAGGGACAGGCAAAGAGATCAGCCGGAAAACAGCTCATCATCATAGGGTTTCTGCATGGCTAGGAAAGACAATGAACTGCCACAGGAGCCAAGGGTACAGGTTTCCATCAAGGAGACAAATACCTGAGGCACAGCATTCTGAGTGGTGAAGTCTGAGGAAGAGAACAGCAACAGCAACCCCTGAGGGATACAAGTGTTTGAGATTTAGTCCATGTTTCTGGACTTGCAGCTCTTATAACTCTTACAATTTCCTAAGTAAGTAGGGCCCTAAGAAAATCTTCTGTTAAAGTGTTTGGCCTTTTGTCCTTGCTTTCTGAAGCAATCCAGAGCTAAAAGGAGGAGAGAAGGGCTGAAGGTTGAGATGGTCACCAATGGCCAAAGACTTAATCAATCTTACCTACATAATGAAGCCTCCATAAAAACCTAAAAAGACTGAGCTCAAGGGAGCATTTAGGAAGGTGAACAAGAATTCATCCACATGTCAGGAAGACGACACCTCACAGCTTCACAAGAAAGGAAGCTCTTGTGCTTGGGACCCTTCCAGAGCTTGTCTTCATCTAGCTATTCATTTGCATCCTTTAAAATATTCTTTATAATAAGCTGGCAAACGTGCTTCTCTGAGTTCTGTGAGTCACCCTATAAAATTAATCAAGTCCAGGAGGGAGTATGATGAGCCTAATTCATAGCCAATAGTTCAAAAGCACAGATAACACAATCTGGAGCTTGTGACTGGCATCAAAATTATGGGGCAATTTTGGGGAACTTAGCCCTCAAATTGTGGGATCTATGTTATCTCTAGGTAGACAGTGTCAAAATCCCATTGAACTGTAGGACATGGATCTGAAGTTCACTAAATAACTTAGTGCTTGCTTGGTGTGTGGCAAAAACTTACACATTTGATCACAAAAATCTTCTGTGTTGGTTTCTGAGTGAGAGATTAGGAAAAAAAAAAAAACCCAAACTTTAGTTCCCCATTCTCCCCTCCCCCTTTTCCCCATATTTTCAGACCCTGACACCTAGGAGCTGACCTGGCACTCACAGCTAAACCTCAGTATTCTGTTGCAAATGATCTGTAGAAAATCTACCTTAGACAATGCTACCATGTGACCATAATGGAAGAAGACAAAAACACAATCACTTAGTAATTGTATCTGCACACAGACAAAACAAGACATAGTCCAACCCATAAATATCACAAAGCCCAAATATTATGAGTGACTGACAGCTGCTTTTCCTACAATGACAGCTATTATCTTTGCCTTAGTCTATCTTCTCTGTAGAGAGGACAAGAAAGTAAATATTCATTCATAGAGTTGATCATTTTCTTTAAAGTAATCCAGAGCAAAGCCTTATTTCCTTAAGCCTAACACAAACCCAAGTCTTATCCAGTTTGTTCACAAGGATGATGTGCTCCAGGGTCTCCAATGGTGTGAGGTCTTGAGTAAGTAGGCTAGG